CAGCAGGAAGACCTCGTCACTTCGCGTGGGACGAAAAGCGGTTCGTAAGCAGATTTGGACACGTGGAGTATTATGATTGGGTAAGAGCAGTGTTGCAGTTAGATGTGGAAGAAATTCCAGTTTTATTTAACGCTGTCCCGGCAGCATACATCATCTATTATCTTTATTTGTTGTTACACTGTTAAATTATTTTCTCTTTTGTTTCTTAAGATTAAATTTTTTTTTTTTTGCCCAGTCATTTGCTAAATTTGGTATTTACGGCCGAATAAACGGGTTTGAATTAAAAAAAACAGAAATTGACTTATAGAACGATTAGAGAAAGATTAATTAAAAATATTGATTCCAAATTCAGTTTTTTTTTTTTACATTATTTGGTTTAGTGCTTGTTACGGATATATATGGATTGAAAATAAAGGATAGCATAAGCTTCTAGTTATTTTCTATGCTTTTGCATGGTAAAAAAAAAATTCATATAAGATGTTCACTACGTAAAATGAATTAATTATCAATTGGCGTATATTCATGCCACTTGTCATATATATTTCCGAGGCTAATAGCATTAATTTAAAGTGAAGGATCATAGATGAAAAAAAATCAATGATTATATACGAAAAATACTTTTAATATGTAAAGAAACAACAACAGCATATATATGTAACCATTAAATAAATTTGATTTCCTAAAAAAAATGTAAGATAAATCTTGATGATAAAATTTCAAAACCATATCTTAGTATATCCGAATATCCTTTCTCGTGATTATGGTAAAATAAAAACAGATGAAACACACGATCGAGAAAGTAAATACGATGACCATATTGTAGCATGCCCAAGAAATTCAAACCCCAAATATAATAACAATAGTAAACCATATAGTAAATTATATTATAATGTTTTCAATGTGAATAATAACATACATACTACATTATAATGACGAGGGCAGGGCAGCGAGAGAGAGAATTAACACTAACTACTAACGTCTTAAAGATATAATTTCACAACAAATAGTTATCGCCAAAGACCAAAAACTTGCTCTTTAATCTCCTTCGCATTAAATTTCTCATCTTCTTTCTCCCTCCTCACGAACTAACTTCCCCTCCTCTTCATTAATTCATATATATTTTCTCTCACTTTCTCTCATTTTCTATCCATCCAAACAAATACCCTTTTCCTCTTCCACCGGAAAACCCATAATGCCCCCGGAAATATCGGTTTCCGGCGAGAACGATGCCGGAGATCCGACGGATAAGAAGAAGAGGAAGGAGGAGGAGGCGAAGGTGTCACTGGTGAAGTTATTCTCCTTCGCCGATTTCTATGATTACGTTTTAATGGCGATAGGATCCATAGGAGCGTGCGTTCATGGAGCTTCTGTGCCGGTTTTCTTCATATTCTTCGGCAAACTCATCAATATCATCGGCATTGCTTACCTCTTCCCTAAAGAAGCCTCTCCCCAAGTTGCTAAGGTGATTTTTTTTATATGTCTAAATCTCGGAAAGTATATATTAAAAAAAAATATTTTCCATGATTGTTGAGGGAAAACGTAGAGAATTGTTGTTGGAATAATGGATTTCAGTGCCGCACAATTTTCTTTTTAAAAATTAGGGTTTTTGAAATCCATGCAGTTTTCCAAAGAAATTGATCCGTAAATGACCTCTCAAAATCTATATTCTTCTGAAATTTCTTGTGCCTCTGTTTTCGTAGTCCTTCTCAAAACCCTAATTCCACATATCTCTCTCTCTATATATATATATATGTGTGTGTGTATACGCATTTGTAAATGACCGAGTGATTTTTAATTTTTTTTCCTGAATTTGGAGTGCAGTACTCGCTGGATTTCGTGTATCTGAGTGTGGCAATACTATTCTCATCTTGGATAGGTAACAAACTAGCTAATTACTCGCTATAAAAATCTAATCGGATTCGACCCAAATCGAATTTATTATTATTATTATCATTTTTAAAAAATTCTTGATTATTATTATTATTATTATTAATATTATTAAAAAAAAAAAGAGGTGGCATGTTGGATGCACACGGGGGAGAGACAGGCGGCGAAGATGAGAATGGCGTATCTAAGTTCGATGTTGAGACAAGACATCAGCGTATTCGACACTGAGGCTTCCACCGGAGAAGTCATCTCCGCCATCACCAGCGACATCATCGTCGTCCAAGACGCCCTCTCCGAGAAGGTAAAGGCCATTTCCGTCTTTTTCACTCGTTAACCAAACCGGTTTCTCTACGAATTGGTTAAACCGGTATCGGTATGAAGGACATAATTACAGGAATAATGTGTATTTAATTACCGTATTCTTATTTTTATATTTTTATTTCCGTGATAACAAACGCATCCTACTATACTATTTTTTGTGTTATATATGTATATATAATATTTTAAATTTGTATTGAGGTAATCTTTGTGGTTTTATTGATTTATATATATATATATATATATATATATATATATATATATATATATAGCGCATAACATTTGCATGCATGCATAACCCTTCTATTTTTAATGCTTACAATAAGTAAAAGCAAACTCTAAAAGTTGACGTGTAGGGGCAAAGGAATAAGGTCAGTAAAGCGTTGATGGCTTTATTTATTTCTATTTGGCATATTTTATTTTATTTTCCAGTTATAGTAATCCATTCCCCTATAATGTTTTTCACACCTCAATAACATATTAATATTTTGCCTTCTATATATCCTTCCATATTTGGATGCAAAATAATCAATGCATGGTCAGTAAAATTAGGTTAGATATATATATGTATATATATAGCTGTATCGCATTTAAAATTAATATGCTCAACTTTACAACGTATATAAAGTTGGTCTGGTTAGATGCAGATTGAGTCGGATATGACTTTATCTGATGTAAAATATTGTCGGTTAGAAAATTTTCCTTTGAAATTCTTGAGAACCACATGCACTGTTCCGCTTTAGGAACGGCATATATAAGATTTATATTAATTACGGTCATGGAATCCCGGTTGACGGTAAACCTGGATCCGGTTTATGGCCGGTTTTCATTGCAGGTAGGGAACTTCTTGCACTACATAAGCCGGTTCACAGCCGGTTTTGCGATCGGGTTCGCGAGGGTATGGCAAATAAGTCTGGTTACACTCTCCATTGTTCCCCTCATAGCTCTCGCCGGCGGCCTCTACGCTTACATCGCCACTGGTTTGCTTGCCCGAGTCAGGAAGTCTTACGTCAAAGCCGGTGAGATTGCAGAAGAGGTGAGTCAACTCGAGCCAGTTGATTGCAGAACCGTATGGTCCTAAACCGGAGGTTAAAGGTCTCAAAAAATAGAGAACCGGAACTATACCAAGACCGGTTATGGTCTTCATCTCTCCCTCTCTCTCTTTGGACAGGTAATCGGAAATGTGAGGACCGTACAAGCATTTGTAGGGGAAGAAAAGGCGGTGAGATCGTACAGAGATGCTCTGAAGAACACATACAAGTACGGAAGAAAAGCAGGTTTAACCAAGGGGCTAGGTCTTGGCTCAATGCACTGCGTGTTGTTCCTGTCATGGGCATTGCTCGTCTGGTTCACGAGCATCGTCGTTCACAAAGGCATCGCCAACGGAGGCGATTCCTTCACCACTATGCTCAACGTCGTCATTGCCGGCCTGTAACACTTCTCTCCTCTTTAATTACCAGTTCCTTAAAGAATAATCAGACAGAATATTACAGGGTTCTGTTCTTTGCAGGTCTTTAGGACAGGCGGCTCCAGACATTTCGGCATTTGTGAGGGCGAAAGCTGCGGCCTATCCTATCTTCCAGATGATAGAGAGAAACGCCTTGTCCGAAACAGCGTCCAAGACAGGCCGTACACTTGACAAAGTAGATGGGCACATCCACTTCAAGGACGTGACTTTCAGTTACCCATCTCGGCCCGATGTCGTCATTTTCAACAAGCTAAACTTCCATATTCCCGCCGGAAAAATCGTCGCCCTCGTCGGGGGAAGCGGCTCCGGGAAAAGCACGGTGGTATCTCTGATCGAGCGGTTCTACGAGCCTATCTCGGGTTCGGTCTTGATCGATGGGAACGATGCGAGAGAGCTAGATCTCAAGTGGCTGAGGAATCAGATTGGCCTGGTGAATCAGGAGCCTGCTCTTTTCGCGACCACGATCCGTGAGAATATTCTGTACGGTAAAGGTGATGCCACTGTCGAGGAGATTAACCGTGCGGCGAAGCTTTCCGAGGCTTTATCATTCATCAATAATCTCCCCGATGGGTTCGAGACTCAGGTAAACGATCAAAATTCACACAAAGTCTGAGACTTTTCCCCGAAAAAGATGAACTTTCAGTATTGAATCTTAAAAGTGTACCTTAGAACACACGCAACAATTGCAAAACTCGAAACTTTTTTTTTAATTTCAGGTGGGTGAGAGAGGAATCCAGCTTTCGGGCGGGCAAAAACAGAGAATAGCGATCTCGAGAGCGATAGTGAAGAACCCGTCGATTCTCCTTTTGGACGAAGCTACGAGCGCTTTGGACGTGGAATCGGAGAAGAGCGTGCAGGAAGCATTGGACAGGGTGATGGTCGGGAGGACGACGGTTGTGGTGGCCCACAGGCTATCCACCATCAGAAATGCTGACATCATCGCGGTGGTTCAGGGTGGGAAGATCGTGGAAAGCGGTAGCCATGACGAGCTCATCTCAAGCCCTAACGGAGCTTACTCTTCTCTTCTTCACCTCCAAGAATCTGCTTCTCTTCAACGTCATCCTTCTTTGAACCCTTCTCTCACCAGACCTCACAGGTAACGTCGATCTCATGTCTCTTTCTCTCTCTGGTTTTAACCTGTTTTAGGGTTTGCGGTGGATAAAAAACGGAGAACCCATATAAAAAAAAATGGGTGAAAAGTTAAATTTTTGTTAATTTTGTTACAGCGTAAATTACTCGCGTGAGCTGTCAAGAACGAGAGTGAGTTCCAACGCGAGTTTCTGCTCAGACAGAGACTCGGTGACTCGCCCGGAGACGACCGATCCGACCAAACGAGTCAAGGTCACAGCCGGACGTCTCTACTCGATGATCCGGCCAGACTGGCCGTACGGTGTCTCCGGCATGATCGGCGCGTTAATTGCAGGAGCTCAGATGCCGCTTTTCGCGCTGGGCGTTTCGCATGCTCTCGTCTCTTACTACATGGATTGGGACACAACTCGGCACGAGGTTAGGCGGATCTCGATCCTCTTCTGTTGCGCCGCCATTGTCACTGTCATAGTTCACACCATTGAGCATACGAGTTTTGGAATTATGGGGGAACGTCTCACTCTCCGTGTCCGCGAAATGATGTTTTCAGGTACAAATTCTCTGCGTGAAGTGTTACACAATTTCACGTTTTTATGGATTTGATTTACGAAAAACCTAAACAATAAATATGATCGAGTTTGAATAATTCACACAAACTATACATAATTTTTGTATAAACTTGATCGAGATTTTATGAAAAAAAATCCTACAATAAATCTGGAAACTTATCTTGATTAATTAGTACATTGCATTGTCCTATATATATCTTTTTCCTTGATAGAATTTTCTAAAATTTCCGTGTATTTTAAATCTCTAATCGGTTCTTATCTATCAAAGAACACGAATTATAATATCCTCTGGCTCCTGTTTCAGCGGTTCTAAAGAACGAGATCGGATGGTTTGACGACATGAACAACACGAGCTCGATGTTAGCTTCTCGTCTCGAGAGCGACGCCACTTTAATGAGAACGATAGTTGTCGATAGGTCGACGATTCTTCTTCAAAATGTCGGTCTCGTCGTCGCTTCTTTCATCATCTCCTTCATACTCAACTGGAGACTTACTTTGGTTGTCTTAGCCACTTATCCTCTTGTCATAAGCGGCCATATCAGCGAGGTGCATATATATAACTTTCAGTTTTCCATTTGCTGTAACCCTAATTTTGGTGACAGAAACGATTAAACCCTAATACCCATGTTCTAATTTCTTGTTTTTGCCAGAAACTTTTCATGCAAGGCTATGGTGGAAACTTGAGCAAGGCGTACTTGAAGGCAAACATGATCGCTGGAGAAGCTGTGAGCAACATCCGTACAGTTGCAGCCTTCTGTTCGGAGGAGAAGGTTCTGGATCTTTACTCCAGAGAGCTCGTAGAACCTTCCAAACGCTCCTTCAAACGCGGCCAAATCGCAGGAATCTTCTATGGCGTTTCCCAGTTCTTCATATTCTCCTCCTATGGCCTAGCCCTGTGGTATCTACATACATACATACATATACATATATACACACACATCATAAGTGTAAAAACGGAGACTTTGATGAAATCTGACAGGTACGGATCGGTTTTGATGGGGAAAGGGCTAGCGAGCTTCAAATCGGTGATGAAGACGTTCATGGTTCTGATAGTGACAGCTTTAGCAATGGGTGAAACCCTAGCTCTTGCTCCGGATCTGCTCAAAGGGAATCAAATGGTTGCTTCAGTGTTTGAACTCTTGGACAGGAAAACGCAGGTTGTCGGAGACGCTGGGGAAGAACTCGACGGCAGCTCCGGCGTGGAAGGCGCGATTGAGCTCAGGGGTGTTCACTTCAGTTACCCTTCTCGGCCTGATATCGTGATTTTCAGCGATTTCGACCTGAAAGTGCGTCAAGGGAAAAGTATGGCATTGGTCGGGCAGAGCGGTTCGGGGAAAAGTTCCGTTCTCTCTCTCATTCTTCGGTTCTATGATCCGACCGCCGGAAAAGTTCTCATTGATGGTTAGTAATACTTCTCTCGTCGGGAACTCTCCTTTTCTTGCATCCCAATAAACCCTAAACCCGGTAGGTGGTCTCAGAGAGCAGCACTTAATCGTTCCGTTCTTGTTCATATACCGACATGATCAACCCGGTTAAACCAAATATTAAGAGGGTTTATTTCGAATAACGAATCTAAACCGAGCCAAGAAATGTTTCTCTAGTAAGAAATTATCCTTTTCTTGCACCCCAAGAAACCCTAAAACCGGTTGGTAGCCTCAGACAGTAGCACTTAACCGAGAATTCTCGTTCGGTTCTTGTTCACTATCTCTCGAACCATGTATTAAGAATCTAAACCGGACCGAATTGGTCTGGTTTTGATGACCGGCACCGAACTCCTTAACCGGTTTTACTGTTGAAACAAAAATCTTCAGGTATAGACATCAAGAAGCTGAGACTGAAATCGCTGAGGAAACACATTGGTTTGGTCCAACAAGAACAGGCCCTCTTCGCGACGACGATCTACGAGAACATACTGTACGGAAAAGAAGGGTCGTCGGAATCGGAAGTGACGGAAGCGGCGAAACTCGCAAACGCCCACAGCTTCATAAGCTCTCTCCCCGACGGTTACAACACGAAAGTCGGAGAACGCGGCGTTCAGCTTTCCGGCGGTCAGCGTCAGCGAATCGCAATCGCCAGAGCTGTTCTCAAGAATCCGGCCATTCTTCTTCTCGATGAAGCTACCAGCGCATTGGACGTAGAGTCCGAACGAGTGGTAAGTATCTACCGAAAAATATATATGAACTCTAGAATTTCGGAAATGTGCTGATCTCTGAGTCGGACACGAGGAGATTCCGGGTATTTGTACATAGGGATTGACACGGGGTTATCCTAATGTTCACTCATTATCATTCATATATTATAAAACAGGTACAGCAGGCATTAGATCGGCTGATGAGGAACAGGACGACAGTGGTGGTGGCCCACCGGTTATCGACGATAAAAAACGCCGACACGATAAGCGTAATACAAGACGGTCGGATCATAGAGCAAGGCTCTCATTCCACCCTCGTCGAGAACGACGACGGCGCTTACTCCAAACTCATTCGTCTTCAGCAGCAATCTCACCTTCATTGATTTCCATCTTCTTCTTTTTTTAAAAAAAATTCCATGTGAATCTCCTTTGCATATACAGAACATTGATTTATGTAACCCATATATCGGACGGAAAAAATATGCTTTTCCTCTTCAATTTGGGGTGTATATATATATATGTTCTTTAGCTCACAACGGTGTTTGTTGTATATTGTTAGTACATTCCATATATATATATATATATATATATATATATGAGACGTGACCCAATTGGTTGAACTGAATTCATCAGAAAATGATGTATAATGCTCATGGTTTTAGAAACACATCGTTCTTGATCTGATTGTTACCCTAATCGTTGCCGGAAGCTGGAAGGCCTCAAAGTTGTGAACTTTAATGTTTTGTCTCTTTTTACTACAAGCAGAGTTGCATGGTTATGGGAGGGAACTCGTAGAAGGGGAAGCCAAGAATGGGTCCGAAGGGAGAAAACCCGAAAGGGCGGGAAGACAATATGACCTTTTTACCCTCGGGAGTCCCATCTCAACGGCCTTCTTCCGTCGTTACCCAGAAGCCGGGGATCAGAACGCATCAGAAATGGAAGGGTCCGGAGAGAATCAGTAGGATATGGAGATTGGATCGACGTGATCGTAAAAAGTTATGGATCGGCGAAGGTAAAAACCTCTCCTTTTTACCGAAAGTTTTCGGGTTTTCCCCTGATGTGGGTCTCCGGTCACGTTGGTAATAGCTGTAGCCTGTAGAGTATATGTATATATGTATTGTCTACTGCTTGTTCTGTTTGCTGCAGATTACGACTTTGATATCTTCTCAACTGCGAATCTTGATCTATAACTGAACCTTTTTAACCAGATTTAACCGAACCGAATTGAACCGAACCGAACCGAATCCGGTAACCAGAAAAGAGTGTTCCTACAATCTTACTGTCCTTTTTTTTTTTTCCAAGATTTGGAAGTTACTGCTTTTTTTTTTCTCTCAAGGAAAACGATATATTTAGACATAAAGACCCAATGTTTTCTCAGACAAGAAGAATCCAATGTTTTCTCACAGAGGAATCGCTCAATAAGCAAAGCAAGACCACTGGTCTCTCTTCAAAGATAAGACATCCAGTTTTGTTTTTTTGTTCCTTCTCACTTAAACTATTTTTTTTTCCTCAGACAGCTTTCTTCTTCTCCAAGCAACCTATGAAACTCATCCCGGCCGGAAAAATCTCCGACCTGTACGGCCCTAAATGCCGATGACCGATACCAGTGATTCACCACCGCCAGTCCATGTCCTCTCTTCCGCTCCGATCACCATAGCTCTCACCGCCTTTTTCCTCATCCTCCTTCTAACCGGATTCTTTTCCCTGTTCTTATGCCGCTGTTTCCTTAAGAGGCTCTTGCTAGCTTGGAATCTACAGCAAAATCCCTCCGGAGAGATCGTTGGCCCGCCCGAGAACCCGGGTCTCGACCCGAAAATCGTTCGGGCTTTCCCTGCCTATCCTTACTCGTCGGTCAGAGATCAAGGGACAGAATGCAGCATCTGTTTGTCGGATTTCTCGGACGAAGACACCGTTAGGCTCATAACGGCTTGCCGCCATGCGTTTCATGCAGACTGCATCGATCTTTGGTTCGAATCACACAAGACTTGCCCGGTTTGCCGGTGCGAGCTCGAATCAGATCTTTCGTCCCCGGAAAAATCGCCCGTTCTTCCCGGAATCAGCCTGGTTAGATCCAGAAGCCACGAATCTTTACATGATGCAGTGGTGATCGTTGTACAGGAAGATGTGGAGGAATCTGTCGGAAATTCGAACCGGAACAGTGAAAGCCATGAAAGGGGAGTGAAGGGTTGTGATCGGAGGTTCTTGAGGTCACATTCCACAGGACATTCCATTGCTTGGCCTAGGGTTTACGACCAAGACGACGACGACGACGACGAAGAAGAAGAAGAAGAAGAAGAACAATATAGCCTGAGATTGATGGAGAAGGTTAATATGAAAATAAGCAGAGGACATAACCAGACAGAGAGCTGCATTACGTTCGGGGAACTTGCACGGTTTGATAGAGTTGGAGGAGATTCTTCTATTGGATCCATTACCAGAATTTTAGTTTAGTTTCTCTGCAAAACGTCGTCGTTTTACCTTTTTTTTTTTGTATAGGCTAATTAATCTATAGAAGAAGATATTTATTTAATTCTTACAATGAATGGAAGAGATAAACCGATATATAATTTCGTTGAAGAAAAATATAAACAAACTCTAAAAAAATCAAGTAAGAAATAACTATACTAATTCGAATCATATTTTGTATAAAATTATTTGAATAATACCGATTTATATAAGCCGCTTGACATGGATTTGTACACGTGGCATGCATAACTAGCGGGTATATGATAATTACGGTGAACTCGTCCTCTGCTGATAATTGTGCCGAATTATAAAATATTGCTTTTTTTTAATTCAAAATTTCCACTTTAAATTCAGGTGAAGTCTGAAATTTTGATATCGAAGAGATTTATCACGTCGAATGGAAGTCTGACCTGGGTCGGTATGATTCTCTCCTATTTCTTCGTAATTGTCCGAATTCTTCGTTTAATCTTCTCAATTTTGGATTCGTGTGGATTGAAATCGGTTTCTGGTAATTAGATGGATCCATGAATGTGGGATCTTTTCGGTCTCGTTCCTGATGCTTAAGTTTGATCGGAAG